GTAAATAAGTAAGTAAGTATGTTAGTAAGTAAGTTAATAAGTAAGTAAGTAAGTAGGTAAGTTAGTAAGTAAGTAAGTAAGTAAACAAGTAAGTTAGTAAGTAAGTAAGTTAGTAAGTAAGTAAGTTAGCAAGTAAGTAAGTAAGTAATTAATTAATTGATATAGACTATACTTTGTAGATTTCATCTCGACTATGTGATCCTTGATAAAATGGTCTGATAATATCCGTTCCAATGATATTCGGTTTGAAGCTGGTATTCTTTTGGTTAGTTTAAGTGTTGGATTTACTCACGTTAAAATTATCTTAAACCATTGCGTCCAAATGATTTGGATAATTTGGAGAAGAATACATTCACTCCTTTTCGTAACCGAATATTATGGTTACTATCAATATGACTTACATAAAATGGGACTGAAATATTTATTAACCAAACGTTTTATTCAGTTGTACAACGGAGAAAAATCTTTTCAGATATGTCTTACTTCAATCATCCCAGTCCTGAGTTCGAATCTCACGAGCAGGGATCGTGAATGTGCCCTGCAGAGGAGTCCCATAGTAGGATGAAACGGCCGTCCAGTAGTTCTAGGTTTACCATGATGGTCTAATTTCAGATGACTCATACATTCAATTAATAAACTACTACAATCTCCAGAAAACCCCTCTCTGATTGTGATTATATATATTAGTTGTTTGCATCTTCCTATTTACGTTTTATGACTGTAGTTGAACAGGTAAGTTCACCTTATGAAATCCGAGCAGGGTAAAACATGCATCCTAGATTCCATTGCTAGCCACTATTCATCTTTGCTTAAAATGCTTGAAAATTAATGACAATATCTAGGCAATCCATATAGGATGTATGTATATCAGAAGAGACTTAACATTTGCATTAGTTTTTGATGAAGTTTTGTTCTCTGAACTGGATGGTTTGGTCGTGGATCTTTCATCGTTCTTCTGAACGACATCATCAGCACAAACTTCAGATAGATGATGAAAGCTCCACGACCAAACCATCCAACTCAGAGAACAAAACTCCATCAAAATCATCTACCTCAGCTACAAATCTTCCCCACCATCTCATTACCTAAGAACATCAAATAAATATTAAACCATATTACAAAATGTATGTCTAATGTTAGATTAGTACACTTTCAATGAATAGTTCAAAGGGATATCTACAATTGTATGTGATATAATCCATTCAATTGAGTGGAAAATATCTATGAACTAAACTCTTATTATCAATATTTCAGAATGTTAACAAACATAAAAAGAAAAACAAACTTTAATTTATTCTTGGATTTGATTAGTAAAAAACTTATGGATAATAATTAAACTATCATTTTCACTATGGATTAATATTATTCAGATAGGTATTGTAAACCAAAGAAAACTCATTTATTCTGAAAACAGTTAGGTAAATCTAGCTGACGAGTGTCGAATACGACGAAACACGGAGCCTAGATTCCATCGATAACCATCATCCATCTTTGCTTAAAACAGTATTGAGGCAGTACACACAGGATACATATATGATAACAAGGGACTAATCAATTTCATTCTTAAACAGCAATGGGAAGATACAAGCAAATAATAAAGCAAGATATAAGGTATTAATTTTGACGTAATTGTATTGGTTCGTAGTGTGGTATCTGCTACTGATATCAACAGATATAAGTAGTATGCATCATCAATCGAAAGTGGAATAACTTGACGGCAGATGGTTGAGAAAATCGAAGAGTGATTGATATTGGAAATGAAGGAACAACAAAGAGTGTATACACCGACGCCACTGTGATCGATTCTAAGCCGTGTCACATAGAGTCTCCAACCATTGGCTACGATAGTCATGCGGACCACAACCAAGTAGTTTACATCTACCAACATGGCTTTGAATAGAAGTTAGTGACTTCAGTCCACGTTCAGGTCTGGCCGCCCCCAACTTTCATCCAACCGTCTCCAACACCGGTTGGCATTGCACGCCATGGTAATCGATGTTCAGGCATACGTAACACGTGGCCCAACCATCTCAGTCGAGGAAGGTTCATATGCTCATCAACTGATTTACCATCATTCCCTAATACCTGTGTGCTGAGATTTCGTCAGAAACCCACCCATTAGGGCTGGCCAGACTTTCAACATAAGTGAAGTTGTCACCGTGTTCGACTACTTCACTCCCTATCACGTGTTGACGCAGACCAGTCCTGAAGAAACAACTTGCATTTAGAGGGAGAGAAGCGCATCCCAAACATTCTGGCATTGTTTCTCAGTGCTACCAAAAGACTCTGCATTTTATCAGCGTCTCCACCAAACAGGACTATGTCATCTGCGTATTCTAAGTCGACAAGTGGACCTCCTGGAAGGAGATCAATGCCCAAGAATTCAGTCGACGAGGATGTTATTTCCATTAGTAGGTCTATGATGAAGTTAAACAAAAATGGAGAAAGTGGACAGTCTTGTCGGACACCACTTGAGGTTGCAAAAGTAGATGATAGTTCGCCATGAGCTCTGACTCGACTAGTAGTGTTCGAGTAAAGAAAGACCACCATTGTCGGACGTCGATAAGTATGCCAATGTTCTAGAACCTGACGAATAGTGAATATGTGGTCGATGCAGCCACGACCAGGTCTGAAGCCAGCTTGGTTCTCTCGTGTTTGCAGTCCACGAGTCTTAGTTAGGCGTCTGATAATTATCGGGGCTAGTATCTTAGATACTGTATTAGTTAAACTAATCCCTCTATGGTTTTCACAGGATGATTTTAACGCTCTCTTATCTATCGGGACGATAAGTGATTGTGACCAGTCAGATGGAATAACGTCTAACTCCCAAATCTTATCTAAAATATCAGTCAACCTAATCGTCAAAATTGGATTACCACACTTAAAATTATCTGGAGTCAATCCATCTGGACCAGCTGCCCTTCCTCGTTTCAGATTAACTATAGCCTTTTGAACTTCAGCAAGAGTCGGGTGACCTACTTCAATGTTCCATTCACACAGTCTGGGAATAGAGGGTAGTTGTAGGAAAGCTGAAGGCCAACTGAACTGTTCTCTGTAATGTTCCGACGATCGTTCTAAGCGTCTGAACTGAGAGCAAGTAAGTGTGTTGTCTTTTCCGAAATAGTCTGACTTACACTTGACTTATTAATTGCAGTTATTTTATTAGTCTGTAGAGCCGCCTTTTTCCATGTCTTGTGCTTTCGTTGCCCATCACTGCTCACGGTCGTTTCTTAGACTTTCGCTTAACCTAGATCTGATTTGTTTTCGCTCTTCATCGTGTTGAGAACCCGATGGGATGAGTTTACGAGAATCCATCAGTGCAATAGACCTTGAAAGGAATCCATTGGTTCTTTGTAACCCTGTGGCCTAAATCACTAATAGATGTCACTGCTGTTTCCACAGCTGTTTGTATATCTTTCCGAGCAACATCTGGGCAGCCTCGTTTTCAGAACTACCTAAGTGTGACCTCAGTTGTTCCTGGAACCTACTTTTGGTTTTCTCGTTACTCAATTCAGTTCTAATGGGTCTTTTAACCGAGGCTTTTTTGCGTCCAGTGAGGCGCAAGCAGATGCGTTCCCGTCTTAGGGCGTGATCGAAGACCAAGTAGGTACTCCAGAATGAACGCCAATCTTGTACCGACCCTCTCCAACGATGACTGATGGCAATATGGTCTATTAGAGTCCATCGTTGGTTTGGTGTAGGGGGTCACCATGTTAGACGATGTCTCTCCTTATGCTTAAAATTTGTGCTTGCTAAAAATAAACGATTGTCTGAGCACAGTTGCAGCAGACGATCACCATTATCTGTTCGCTGTGTCGGAATACTAAAATACCCACCTAAATGCCTTTCTGTTTGGTTTAAACTGCCTATCTGAGCATTAAAATCACCTGCTACGAGTACTATGTCTGAGCGTTTAGCTTTCTGAAGAAGTTCGGACAGCTTTCTGTAAAATTCATCTTTCACATCATCTGAGCTGCAGTCAGTGGGAGCGTAGGCAGAAACGACAAAAAGGCAACGACGTGTGTGCCTATCCTTCCGAGTTCTTATGGAGCCGTTTAGCCGAACAGCACATAAACGACTGTTAACGAGAATCCACTCCAACAGTGCTTGTTCCGCCGTCATGTTCAGTGCTATGCCAACTCCTGCCAGTCCACGAGAGCTGGCCGTCGGGTCACCAGATACTCGGAGGGTGTATCTCGTTGGCTCTCCGTTTCGCTGAGGTGAGGTCAAGTGAATGGCCACGCTGTGATCCTGTATGCGTGTTTCAGAGACACAGCATACATCAGTGATACGAGATTCTAGCTAGAACAATGTAATCATATTGTAGAACAAAGCAATTGGTAGAAGAAACGAATGTTTATTGAGAGAAATTACAAAGTGTATTGAGAACTAGATTACAACAGGCCAGAACAATAATTTACCGACACAAATTACAAGCAATCAATGCAGAATAAAATCAGACTAGACACAGAGAGAATAAAAAATAATCTCATATCTTTGTTATAATCAGATCGTTGTAGCGTGGTGTCGAATTGAGGTTAACTATGAACACCGCTACCAAGAAACACGTGCCAAATAAATCAGAAGGCGAGGGTTGGACGTAACCAAATAGATCCATAAAATCCCCGAAAAGCTAAATATCAGAAAGCAATTAATGGACTAAGTCGAGGTTTATTAGCTGGCGATCTCGTGGCATCGAAAGGATACCGAGATCATGCCAGGATACAACCTTGGTTACAGAAGGTAACCGAATTCGCGCAAAGTTACAATCAAAGTGTAAGTAAGAGAATGGAAGCACAAAATAGCTGTCATTAACACAGTCAAACAAAAGCACGTTAAAACAAACACTGGTACAGTTGGTCATAATAATAATTGTTTTTATTAAACCAGTCGTGTTCTCGTGATAAACGTGAGTCACTACATAGTCATCTTCCTTGACTGGTCAGTTAATTATTATCTTTAACATGTTCATTCATCAATACAAGAACAAGTTTGTGTGTTTGGTTCTCAGTCACATTGTTCTAGGTGCTGGCATTAAAGCCGAAGTGTCAAACAAATTTTCTTTTAAATACATATAGATCACTAAGTTACCGCAACATTTATTTCCCTGAAATCATAGTTTTCACTTATTTTTCACTGATAACACATATCTTATAAATTCAAGAATGTTAGTGAAAAGAGTTCCTGAACAGTAAAACTAACTTGTTCTTTAGTTTTCTTTAAATCTTTTTGAGAAATATTTTGTAAATGTGTACATTCACTGTTTAAATCAGTTAATCGACCTTCATATTGATCTTTCATTAAGTTCATTTTAACTGTTGGACATTCATATGCTCGATTGCATTTTTCTAACATTGAAGCTAATTCAACATTTATTTCCTAAGTAGAATATAAAAAGAAAGACTCAATGTCATTTGTTTCTTTTCAATTATCTTCAAGCATATTGTATCGAATAATCAGGAATTACCTACATATATAGATAAATATAGTTATCAGAGTTTTGTATTATAGCTGTGATGTCCTATGAAAATGAGTTGAAAATTATGCAGACGAATAAATTAAGCAAACGGATAAACAAAAAGGAATCGAGTTCCTAGTCCAGTAGACTGTAATACATTAAATATGGCTTAGAAGATCTGAATAAGACTGTGAATTGGTGCCTTACTTTTCAGCCTTTCATTTCTTCATAGAACGACGGTTTAGTGATTAAGGTATTTGAATTTCAATCAGTAAGTAGCAGACTCGAACTACAACCCATCGGTTTTGATCACTAGCTCTCATAACTAAAGTGTATCTTAAAGCCGATTAAATAAATCGATACTAAGTAAGAAATTCTAATATTACTATACTTCAACAAATTTAACTGGATAGTACCGGTTAGTACCAGCAAATAAATGTCGTCTAGTGGCACACAATAGGACCGCCATTGAGTTTTATTCTGAAACATGTCTGATGACATCTCAAGACACCGTGTTGCATTATCTGTAGGGCCCAGTCAAGGAGTCAAAGACACCAAACATGGCCCAGATTGGTATAAGACACTCTGGCTTTCACTATAAATTAATTGATCTCATCAGTCACGCCACTATTAGCACTAACACAGCTACCCAAATACACAACCACTTTCGAATCCTCACAATTAAAAGTGACTGCAGACACAGGCTCCTGACAGTCTTGTAAAAGTAATTTAAGGTACAACGCATATTGTGTACCTACGAATAGCCATTGCCAACTGATTAAGTGTGAAATACTTGTCCCGAGCACCATTGCAACGTAAAATGAGATCACCCACATACTCAGTGTCGAAATTTTTCTGCAGATAACAAATTCACATCACCATCACCTAATTCAGTCAAAGCTGTAAGTCAAGTGTAAGTCAGACTATTTCGGAAAAGACAACACACTTACTTGCTCTCAGTTCAGACGCTTAGAACGATCGTCGGAACATTACAGAGAACAGTTCAGTTGGCCTTCAGCTTTCCTACAACTACCCTCTATTCCCAGACTGTGTGAATGGAACATTGAAGTAGGTCACCCGACTCTTGCTGAAGTTCAAAAGGCTATAGTTAATCTGAAACGAGGAAGGGCAGCTGGTCCAGATGGATTGACTCCAGATAATTTTAAGTGTGGTAATCCAATTTTGACGATTAGGTTGACTGATATTTTAGATAAGATTTGGGAGTTAGACGTTATTCCATCTGACTGGTCACAATCACTTATCGTCCCGATAGATAAGAGAGCGTTAAAATCATCCTGTGAAAACCATAGAGGGATTAGTTTAACTAATACAGTATCTAAGATACTAGCCCCGATAATTATCAGACGCCTAACTAAGACTCGTGGACTGCAAACACGAGAGAACCAAGCTGGCTTCAGACCTGGTCGTGGCTGCATCGACCACATATTCACTATTCGTCAGGTTCTAGAACATTGGCATACTTATCGACGTCCGACAATGGTGGTCTTTCTTTACTCGAACACTACTAGTCGAGTCAGAGCTCATGGCGAACTATCATCTACTTTTGCAACCTCAAGTGGTGTCCGACAAGACTGTCCACTTTCTCCATTTTTGTTTAACTTCATCATAGACCTACTAATGGAAATAACATTCTCGTCGACTGAATTCTTGGGCATTGATCTCCTTCCAGGAGGTTCACTTGTCGACTTAGAATACGCAGATGACATAGTCCTGTTTGGTGGAGACGCTGACAAAATGCAGAGTCTTCTGGTAGCACAAAGCAACAATGCCAGAATGTTTGGAATTCGCTTCTCTCCCTTTAAATGCAGGTTGTTGCCATATTGTTCTATGAACTAGATGGTTTGGCCTAGAAGCTTTCATCACCAATTATCCCATTCATTTTTACACTTATTTTAATGTTTCAACCATTTTAAAAGAGTTACCTTCTTACTATAGATTCTATTTGTACTAGATAAGGAATTTAATGAGATGCGAGGAGATCACTTATCAACTAGTTACTAGTAGATCCTTTCCCGACCGTTGTTGCTACTTTGACGTGGTGGTCGGGCTTGCCTATCGTGATGAAGCAACCGAGCTATACTGGCTGGAACAACCGTTCCTCAAGGCCCTACCATGTCAGACAGGTCGGTTGAAGAGCGGTAAGACTAAAAGCAACAAACCCAAGGTCCGAAGGCGAAGTCGTACTGCTGACTGTACAGAGGTGTGACAGCTGTAAGGTGTTTCCTTCAGACGACCAGCATGACAGCGATGCCTCCTTCCCACAAGGAGGGGTGGGGTTAGAAAAGGTCGACCCTTAAAATGCACACCTCGCCTTATCCCACGGATATCCGTCTCCGGCGGTAAGGTCTCAATAAGTACGGAGCTAACACAAAAATTACCCATAACAAGGTCGTGTGTGACCGACCTCAAGCAGTTGTCCCTTGGGCACTGCGGTCACGCTCTCAGGTCACTAAGACCACCTTTAATCCAAATTCCTTTTCAGGTACCTCCAGAACAACCCTTCCACGGTGTGGGCAACCGGGAAGTGAAAACCGCCCTCATACCTCTAACAGCACTCAAGACCACTGTATTCATAATCAACCTTCCTCTTCAATTCCTATTATTCCTCCTACATCGACTTTCTACTTTAAATTTCCTCTCTCGGCTTCCACCTCAAGTGTCACCATAGCCAACGATT